AAGGCCAAGGCCAAGGCTTTGACCCTCAAGCCTCGAGGCCAAGGCCAAGGCTTAACCCTCAAGGCCAAGGCCAAGGCCCTGTTTTATGAAATGACCACTGATATAGAACTAATTATAGTCACATGAGTGACACATCATCACGCAAGGGCAGATCCAGAGCACAATTGGGGGGGGGCAAAGAAACGTTGGTCCCCCCCCAAAAAAATTGGTCAAAAAATTACGGCTTGGGCTTCGGGGCCCGCTTAAGGGCCCCGAAAAAAGTTTGGATTCGAGATGCTCTGTGGTGCGATTTGAGGCAATTTCTGACCATTTTAACCGATGTTTTTTGAGGAAAAGATGGTGGTGTACTCATTGCCTGCATTTATTACGACGTCACATAAAAAAATAGGTTTCTTTTGGGGGGGGGGGCATGGCCCCTTTTGGCCCCCTGGATCCGCCCTTATCATCACGAATTGCTCGTTACGAAGAACAGCATTTCTTTAATTGCAATCAACATGCTCGCATAGGCCTACACCGTTTTATGACTGCACTGTATCTATCTATATATATAAGAGAGAGTTTAACTCGGCCTCCCAGACGATGTTTGCTCATGAAAGGATCCCAGACCGCGGGCTCCCGCGGAGCCAGAATCGCTCCACGTCCGTGGAAAAATGCGGAGGGTGTCTTCCGCCGGATCGGACACTTCGGGTCGTCCCGATTTTCCCGTACGGACCGGCGATCCGTTTCGTCAATTTTTCGTGACTGCGTTTTGCGCAGGAATTTGCCGTCGTGTGCGCTTTCACGTTGACTGCCTGGCCGCCCCCTGTGCTGGCTTTTCTGCGTGTCTAGACTGTGCGAGGTCAGCGGCTTCGAATTAGGGGTTCCGTTTACGTGTTCTACTCGGCCGTTCTGCAAAAGCGTTCACCAAATGGTGGCATGGGGTGACCTTGGTAAAATATTTTTTCTCCATGGTGCGTGGCCACCAAGTGTCCCTATTCTTTCATGTGCTTCGCTTGCCGCCCCTGCGCCGAGTGCAACGAATACTCAGAAGGACTACACATTAGGTATGCCTTGCGCGGTCTGACCAATCGAAAGTCTACACTGCGTAGTATTTCCGGGCTATGCAAAACTGTCGATGGCAACGCGTACTGCAGCCTGCTCCACACCCTGGAAACGAGGTTGGGTCTACGGTGCTTGCTATTTGAAGCGTCGCGTGATAGAGTGCTGTTGCTTCCATAATGTGTTTACAGCTCCATGCTTCCACCACCAAGGCTGAGTGTTGTGAGTTCGCTGCCCGCCACGTATAATTCAGTGTCGCGTTATAATTTCGGGGGCCTGTTTGGGGTCAACGAAGGATCGATGCATTGCTTCGAATATCGCAATCTTAAACGAAGTCACAAAAAAATCGATGAAAAAGTGTCCGACCCGGCGGACGACACCCACATTTTTCCACGGACGTGAAGCCGCGGTCTCGGATCCTTTCAGAAGCAAACATTTCTCGGAGGCCGAGTAAAACTTGCTCTTATATATAGATGGTTGAACCAACTTGAATAAAAGTTGAATCGCAGACGGTCTCACAAATTGTAAGAAGTTCAAGTTTACGTTTGTTGAAGAGTCCAATACTGAAACTTAATTATGACCTTCCTCCATGATTCAGACCGTTTGTAATTTTTTGGTAACACTCAACATTTTCATTTTAAATGACACCTTCGAGTTTTATTGCATTATGATTTATTGTCAAATTGTACAACCAGCCTTCGCCTGTGTACTACAGTAACCTTTTCACTACGTTTTCCAAATGCGACTGCCTCACAAAAAGCCAATTTAAGGCCCAAAAAAAAAAGTCTCCGGTTTCTGGTATGCGCGCGCGTCGCCGTAGCCATGCGCGTCGGCAAAATGAAAAAGTGTTTTTTTTAGTGAAAGATGATGTCCCAAAACCGCCAAACTCACTGGTTTGACTGGAATACTGCTGCTGCACAATTTTAACGTGTTTTTAGATTGGGTTATGGTCGAGAATAAGCTTTCTGTGGCCTCTCTGGACTCCCATATATTTGCACTAAGTTTAGTCGGGCACCATTTGCAGTCATCAGCACACATTTGAAGCAAAAAAATTAGGTAAAAAAAAAAAAAAAGCCGCGTCGCCGCAAGGAAGCTCCATACCAGAAACCGGAGACTTTTTTTTTTTGGCGTAACAGACCAACGGCAACATTTACAGACAGTTGCCATGGTACATAATTATTATCATGTGCGTAAATCCACGGGGAACAGGGGGAACCCCCCCCCCCCACACACACACACACACATTTTGAGGGGGGACATTGTTTGGTCTCCCCCCCCCCACACTTTTTCTTCCCCGAATAAAAATATTGTAGCCTACAATAATGATTCTATTGCTCAGAATACATGTAGCTGCTTCAATTACTCAAAACTCAAAACTTTCACGAATGATCTTTTGCTCAAATTGGTTTTAGTGATCAGAAATTGCCTCAGATCACACCACAGAAATTGCTATTCTTTAACTGCATGTCCCCCAACTATATCCCCCATTTACATTTAACTCCCCACATTTTCATCCCCAACACTACGCCCTACCCGATCTATGATCAGGTAAACCAGCTTGTTAAAGTATAAGTTCAGGTCTTCAATATGGTTTAACTAAACAAAATATGATTTACTTCTATATTGACACACAATTCTCCCAAGTGTAACAAAAGGGGGATCCAAGAAACTGATTTGGGAAATTTGTATTTGCTGGCCCAACATGGTCAGAAATATCAGCATTATCTAAAACAGATACATGCAAATCTTTAGCACTTATCAGGGAGACATATACAACCAATCAGATCTATTCCATAGTTATATGCAATTAAAGTGATCATCTCATTAGCCCCACAAGTGTACGGAAATCTACTACAATGGTAACAAAATGTGATGCTACAAAAGTGGAAGTGTGCCCAACACACAAATCTATAGGGTGCTTCCCTCCTCCATGGTAATACGATTAAAATGGTAACAGCACAATTTCGAACAGATTTATCTAGAAAATGCAAAAATCTATGGGCCTTGAAGAGCCTTGACTCAAAATTGCAAGGCCCTGAACCCTCAAGGCCAAGGCCAAGGCCAAGGCTTTTGCCCTCAAGCCTCGAGGCCAAGGCCCTAAAATCCAGCCTTAAGGCAGCCTTAAGGCCAAGGCCCAGCATCAAGGCACTACATCACTGGTATATGCCATCTTCAAAACTTACAATATCTTTGTTTCCCATTATGTGATTAAGTTGACACTTTAAATCATCATTCTCAAGCTGTAATTGTTTACCCTGTTTTTTCCCCCAGTGAATTCAGTTCCTTTTGAACAAATTTGCTTGACTCTGCACTTTTTTGAAGTGATTTCTGGAGTCCCTATTTCTTTTCTTGTCTTTGTGCAGAGACTTAATTCTCTTTTCCAGCAGCTGCATTCTTTTGTTGAGTTTCTGATTTTCTTTGGTTGTTTCTTCAAGTTCCTTTACAACGTTCTTCTTTTGCAAGCTGCCAAATTGCTTTTTCAACTCCTTGTTGATTTGGTTGGCCTGCCCTAAAGCCTTTTCCACTTTGTCAAGACTTTTGTTTGTTTGTTCATGTTGGAGTGTTTCTGCATGCAACAGGTCTGTCAGGTACTCCATGCAGTCACCATAAGATGAAATGCTTCTTCTAATATGTATTCTGGGTAGAACTCCAAATTGCTTTTGTCATCTTTATCACCATCACTATCTTCATCAACTTGGCAACATGGAGGTTTTTTATTTCATTAAAGTTATAACAACAGTCAAAATATAACATTCTACATATGAAAGTGAAGCTGAAAGTGTATATTTTGCATTCTGACCACGATGTATTCATATTTATCGTATGTAAAGAGAAAAATGACACGGTTTACCTCTTCGGCATCCTCCGCTACGCGTCGCCATTTTGGAAAATTTCGAAGATGGAGCGTTGATCTTTGGGGTTTCCCTGATCTAAATATAGGGTTTCTGGGGTCATAGGTCGCTGGAAACGTCACAGAATCGTCCAAATAAAACAGCTATAAGGGGGAAACGTTCTGCTCCAATGCTTTTCAATGGGCTCGACGGTGCGACTCAACCATTTTTTCTTCGATTTCAAAAAATAAACATTGAGAATGAAGGACAAACTACAAGGATTCAAATATGGCAATATGTTTTAATATTTTTATCTTTCACCTTTGCAAAATTACAGCAGAAAGTCACACTTTTTTTCCGGCTGAACCATGCAACCGTGTGTGTGTGTGGGTGTTCCTGTATTGTATTACGCTCGAGGACAGACAACAAAAGGAGCACAAAGGGGCCTTTCATCCTCGAACGACGGTGCCTATTGTCCTCAAATGCAGGTTTGTGCGCTTAGTCTATGGGAAAGGTTAAGATCAGGGAACAAAGGAAAACACAAAGCCAATCCTCGGAAGCATAGCAAAAAACGACTGTGTGCACATGCGTGTGTGCGCTGTTCACCGAATCGTCTGAAAATTGTGCCTGCGTAAATGACATGCCTACTATAACTGCCAAAGCCCATTTAAGTGGCTTGATAGATCGGTTAACCATTAATACTGGTACAGGTTGTATAGCAGCCATTTTAACGCGTCAATTGTACCGATATGATTCCAGCTTACAGACATGTTCAATCTGTCACTAGTAACCCTATGTATCAAAACCCTGATGGGTTTTGATACATAGGGTTACTAGTGACAGATTGTCACCGAGTGTAGGAGTGTCTGTTCATTGTGTAATAGATTATTTAGAGCCTTTTATTTCTTAATTAACGGCATGGTAGCTCCAGCGCATTAGTGCCAGCTTGCTAAATTCCAAAAACAAGAAAGACATGTAAAGTTTTCTTCCATACAAGACTTAAAGTGTAAAACATGGTTGTTGTTTTTTTCAACATTCTGTACAATTCATTTTGTAGTACTTTTTACTTTATATCTAATAAATGTAAATAGTCTTTTCCACAACAGGGGTAAAGTAGATAATTATCCTTACCTTTCCACCATCCACTGCTGCAAACACAAACTTTCCCTGCACTCCAAAGCTGTACACATTCATTTTTATTGCTATAAAAATATACAATCCAAATAAAGGAATATTAAATGTTAAATACCTTTCAAACAGTGGCAATAGTTCATATTCAACTTTCATTTTATAAAAAAAATCTGATTTCTTTCCTTTTCAGGCCTTTTTGGTGGTGTTTATGTAAACATGAGTGTTTATCCCATACACACACCACATGCCTGATATATGCACACAAGTCATATTAAAAGTTATTCATAAATACCTCAGACAGTTTAGCCATTCCTATTGGTCGAGAGCCCGTCACGTGGCCGGTATTAAACGGATGATAAAGACATGGCTAGCTGGTCTTAAACACTTTTCCAGTGTCACAATAAAATGTGGACTCCTAAAAATCCAGTGCCTCTTATCGTTTCATTGGTTGAACGTTCACAATCCTCACGTAGGCATGCGCAACACTACTAGGGAGTCAGAATTTTAAAGTTCTAAATTCAAAACGCAACGCGCCAGGTGCGTTCTGCGCGACATCGCGTAGAACATGATACGCGCGCGTCAATCTCCATAAAAGGGTTGTTTTCATCTTACTCGCCAGCTGAACACTCCATTATTTTGCAGGAGGGATGTTTCAAAAAGCATAAAGTGAATTTGTTGAACAAAATCGGGATGTTTTGAACGAATTATATGATTTTTTTTTAACCGAAAAGGTATTTATGAATGGGAATAAATATGTACTCCGTCGGTATTTATCACTCTGTTTAATACCACTTAGAGTCTGGGTGCTGATAATTACCCTCGCCTCCGGCTCGGGTAATTATCAGCACCCAGACTCTAAGTGGTATTAAACAGAGTGATAAAAACCTCCGGAGCACACATTTATTCCCTTAGTATAACCTAGCGTAGTGAGAAATTGTTCATAGAGGTTCAACAACAAAAAATGCCCCAAATTCCACCCATATGCCAGACAGTCATGTTGATGGTTTCAACCTTGTCCCCATACAGTACACCACGCACAAGCAGGCTGTGTGCAGAGAGCACATTCAGTGCATTGATCATTACGTGTTGCTAACCCCCTCTTCCGTCCCTACCCCTTAATTCCCGTTGCTACACCACTGTTTATAAGTGGAGAGTGTAAGTGCTCGCAAAATGATGATCTGAATGCAACGAGGTGTTGGATCGAAATCAAAGTTATCTCGCAGCTAGCCCTATAAGAAAACTGTACCGAAACGCACGGAATGCCAGCTAGTCCTCGCAAAACTCGCCTGCTCGCTACGCCCATTGCATAGTTGAAAACGTAGCGGGCAAAAGTCTAGGTGGCGCGAGCTGTGCAAAAAAAAGTTTAGTTGGCCGCAAGAGGGCGCTAGGCAAAAAGCATGATCGCAATGGCTGCTCACATGTGAAATGACACAACCACGAAGTTACAAAAGTTATGAAATGAATGCTGGAGTAAGGAACCTGTCGGGTAAAAGTAAGTACTGAAACCTGACCTGGTTACATATACTATAAATCAGAGTTTCAACTGAGTTACGAAGTTTCAGATACATACTCACCAAGGAAAGTCTTTCCATAGTCAGTTGACCTCAAAAGCTTACGAGTTCCTGAACCTGAAACAACCAATGCTCAATATAAATTGCCAACATTGAAATCAAGTGTCTAAACTACGAGAAAAATGTCCAACAAAATACATTTCTGCCGGTTTGACACTAAATTTTTTATCGGTAACTGACGTTACAAAAAAGGAAATTGCAAAACTTTACATACTGTTCATGTTAAAGTTTCCTATACTGTGCATTGATGGAATTTTTTTCAGACTGTTACATCATTAGGTTGTAAGTCACTTGCTACCATAATAATTATTAACTAGACTTATGTTTATGGACAAACACAGGGCTATTTCGGAAACTTTTTTGTGACATATTATGTGACATGTAAAGTTTCAAGTTTAAGTTCCATCCAGAAAAGATGTGTAGTTCTGTTTATAATAAATGGTGGAATATAAATATGTGATGACATTCTCATAGGGCTTTGAATTATGACGTCACATGTCAAGTGATGTCATGATGACGTCACATCAATTTCCGTCTTGTTATATTCTTGGAGGGGATTCGTATTTAAACAACTTGGACGCAGATAGCACCACAACAGCTCCAGCTCGGTTTGGCTTACAACTTCATGACACACGTTTATTCAACATGGCTCCGCGCACAGAAACTCTTACACGAGTTGACCTTTGACATACTCTAATAGGCTGGCTATCTGTCACATGCAGACACGACATCCCTCCCCTTCAAAAAGAAACTTTGGTTTTCTTGAATAATGGGTGACATGCAAACGATTAACTATTACAATTTCCACTGCCCAATAATCACAGCAACTAACAAACATCTTTAACTTTAAATCCAAGCAGAAATATTAAACTTTAGGCGAATTTAAAAAACCCTCATATGATCAACAACATGCATCTGTCTGACCTTCATGGATTATGGATTTGCATACATGCACAAGTCAAGCTACAACTAGTAGTGCAGGTTTGGAATTTACAACACGCGGGTGGAGGGTAGTCCCCCTGCCGTACCCTGACGTGTGGTCGTGATAAGTACCGACGGGCGGGGCGGGCGGAAAACGCGGCCCTGCGTTATGTAGGCCTCGACTAGCCACCAACAAAGGTGGGGGACTAGCCAAGACGTAGTGGGCACCAGATGGTTGATCGGGTGCCAACGGGGTTTGTAGAAAGAAAGCAGGTGAAGTTGAATTGGCCTCATCTCAACCTGCAAAAATCTACTAAGTCCACCAAACAGGCCATAAGGCCCAAAAGCCTGAGCCAGGCTCGGGCTGGAGCCACTTCCGTCAGGAGGAAGAGGGACACACACTGCCGAAGGTTCAGCAGGCGGTCCTCCGATGGGCGGGCCAGTCCCCTGCAAAGATCGAGGGATGCACCTAGAAAGGTGGGAACCTGCGAGGGGACTGGATGGTATTTCTTGGTGTTGATGAGAAATCCAAGGTCGGAAGCAAGGTGCCACATTAGTTGGAGCGCCGCTTCCGTCTCCCCCCGAGAACGACCCACTACTAAGCCAATCGTCGAGGTACATGAATATCATGATCCCTCGTCGCCGCAGTGCCGCCCCGATCATCTTCACGATCCGGGTGAACACCCGCGGAGAAGTGGACAGCCCGAACGGGAGCACCACAAATTCGTACAGTATATTTTTGTATTGGAAACGTAGGAATTTGCGGTGCTCCGGCATTATCGGTACGTGAAAGTACGCGTCCTTCAGGTCTATACTGGCCGCCCACGCTGGCGTTATGATTGATTCGAGAATGGTCCGTAACGTTTGAACCTGTTGAGGGGTTTTAAGTTCAGTATTGGATGCCACACGCCGGCCTCCTTCATGGGGTCCAAGAAGAAGGTTGACATGAAACCCGCCCGGGTCCCCCCTTGGGGGACAACACGAACTGCTCTCTTTAGAAGGAGGGTGTCGATCTCCTCCTCGAGGGAGCGGCGTTTTGCTGTGTCAGGCGGTACGGGCGTTGTCCGAATAAGCATGTCCGACAGGGGGTCCTCGTAAACCGCTGCTGATCGGTTCGAGGACCCACCGGTTGGAAGTCACCTGCACCCAGGACCCCAAGAACTCCTGAGAAATATTTCTCAAAATCCCCTGGGGGAAAATGATAATAAGAGTCCACGCGCTTAGCGTAGGCACTCCATGTCTTTGCGTGCATTATTCCGTCTATGTGGTAAACGCACACACGGTCCAGCGGCATTGTGGGAGAAGCCCGGACCGGTTCTGCCGTCGGTCCTGATCTCTTCTTGAACGACTGACGCTCAGGAGGAGGAGGATCGGTACCAGCAGGGAGATTCAGGACCCTGATCATATCCCGTTGAACCAAGCGGAGTTCGGTCTCAGCCACCAATAGGCGTTGCATGGTGCAGGTCAGTTCGCTCTCGTCCGCCGAGTTGTCAGAGTACGGGGGGCGAGTTGTCACTGGGGAATGGGAACCAGGCCTCGGGGGTGAAGCAGCGCCGTCATGGTGTCCCAGTATCGAGCCCCGCTTGGACTCTAATGATGCCGATGGGTGTAAACTAATACCGTGCGGGGATGCCGGTGCACGGCTCTCCGTACGCGGCATTGTCCGCTGGTCTGTAGTCACCCCACCACGGCCGTGATGACGGGCGGGTGGGGGCTGTAATTCTGGAGGGGACTCCGGCACACAGCTAACCATGTGTGGTATGTCCCTTTGGCCCGGAGTCATCCAGCTGTGACCGTAGTGGCCAGTGTGTGAGTCAACTGGGCCGAATCCCAAGTCCCCCTGTCAGCCCGACAATGAGGCCGCGAGGGAGTGAAAAGCCTCCAAAAAATCATTGCGCGAAATTGGGTCGCCGCCCTTGTGGCGTTTCCCACGGTGTGATCGACCGGATGACCCGCTAGAACTCGTCGAAGAACGGCGAGGACGACAGTTCTTTTTCGCTTTTTTCTTTTTTGAAGATCGGCTCCAAGTAGTTTCCGAGGATTGCGGGGACACGGGGATGCCCGAACAACGGATAAATCCGATGTAGAGGCATGGCCCTCAGAGCGTAGCGTTAACGCCCTTGGCGTTAACGCCCCGGGGGAATCCCAGGGAGTCGGCTATGCGATCAATACCCCTATGGGATCAATAGCCCGGGCGGCCGACAGTGCCCCCGCCCTGGTAACAATAGGCGGGTGCTGCACGGTCAAGCCGGCCGTATAAAAGCCCATCCCCAGACATAATGGTAATCACGGGGCTGGGTGGGCCTGGGTGCACTGAGCCATGGAGGAGTACTTCCTCTGGCTGTGTGTGGCCCGTAGACGGGCCAGGGACGGGCACAGTGCGCCCCGTAGCGGGGCCACCTTTTGCCACACGTCCCTTTTTGGGTACTGCCCTGGCTTCAGACAATTTCCTTGTCTTGCCGGTGCATTTCCCCTTCAGCTGGGCGGACCCGTGAATATTGACCGAAGACGGTGGGGTTGTACGGCCCCCCGCTTGGTCAAGGGGTCCGTCAGCTCCGACAGCCGGCAGTGGCTGAAGGGGCTGACTAGAGGACTGCTGCCACGGTGACGTACCATCACCAGTGCAGTCCCCCCGAGAACTCGGGCTTGTCTGGTGGGATGTACGTCCCTCCATTATCGACACACCCAGTCCTCCCCAACTTCCTAGATTTACTCATTTCTTACTTCACTTCACTTAGAATAACTCACTATAATAACTCTACAATAAACACTTTCTCTTTATTTCTTATAAATAGTTTTCTCACAGCAAAGAGGCATAAATAAAACAGTGTAATTCAGGTCGATTGAAATTTCACAATATACCTCGTCTGCGGCTAAGAGAAAAAGAGGACGCTAACGTAGTGCGCATGTCACAGGGCGTCGAGGGTAGGACACTTGAGGGCCCTATTGTGTGTAAAACTCTTAGCAAATTGCCTGCCGGCATAGGGAACAATGCATAGGTAGTATTTGCTCTACAGGTAAGTAGAGTGATGTAGACCTTATACTTAGGATGCATGCCACACTGTCTCTTGGGTCTGCCCGCACATGGACTGGGCAGCTCCTTTGGTGGGGTCACAGCGGGTGGGGTATCAGTTACAGTCTTTGGGGGACTTATTGCCTGGTCCATGGTGTTCCCACCGCTGTCCGCTATGGGAGGTTCACTGGCAGTGTTTATGCCTGTGTCACTTGCACTCTGCGTGAACTTCTGAACATGGCTGGTGTTTCGGGAGTACTGGGCTCCCTCCGGGGCAAGGGCGGATCCAGGGGGGGGGGGCCAAAGGGGGCCATGGCCCCCCCCAAAAAAAACGAAACCAATTTTTTTTTTTTTAATGTGACATCGCAATAAAGGCAGGCAATGAGTACACCACCATCTTTTCATCAAAAAAATTGGTTAAAGTGGTCAGAAATTGCCCGGATCGCACCACAGAGCATCTAGAATCCAAAAAATTTTCGGGGCCCTCGCGGGCCCCAAACCCCACGCCGTAATTTTTTAGACCCACTTTTTGGGGGGACCAAAATTTTTTTTGGCCCCCCAAAAAATTGTGTTCTGGATCCGCCCTTGCTCCGGGGATGCAACAACCACACTTTTGCCGGTTTTACTCACAACGGTGAATGGGTCGGGAATGAAGGGAGTAGATCTTCTCCTGCCTCACAAGGACTTGGTTGCCAATCTGCACATCAGAGTATTTTGCATTTCGGCGTGTATCCACGTACAGTTTGGCTTTTCCTTTGCTTTCAGCATCATGGTCACAAACCTCCAAGTCAGTGTGATCGTCTGGGTTGAATGCTGGTAGTTTGCCGCAGATTTTCCGGTTGAAAAGTAGCTCAGCAGGAGTTTTCCTTGTGGCGGGGTGTTCAGTTGCGCATTTGCGCAGTTCTTTACTCCAGTCCTGACCTGCAGCTTGCTGCAGTTTCATGATCGAGTCATTCTGTCGCTCCACCTCACCGTTTGCTTGAGCTCACAGTTTTCGAACTTTCCAGTGCGAATTGCTTCTCTCACGTTTGCAAGTTCACCGTCTTCGGCAGACGCGTTTTCGACTTGCCTCATGGTCATGGCACGCGGCGTCACAGATACGGCTACGAAACGAACATATTCATCCGCGCCATGGGCATGTTCCGGTTTGCCCTTGCCACTTGAGAGACGTGACAGGGCATCAGCAATATTCTCGAGTCCGGGGAGGTACACAACTTTGTAATTGCACGGTTGTAAGCGTAGCACCCAGCGTTCAATTCGGGCACACGGTTTGGAACGGGGTCCATATATGGCCTCGAGTGGCTTGTGGTCAGTTAAAAGCTCAAAGTTGCATCCGTAGATATAGGTATGGAATCTTTCGCAGGCCCAAATTAACGACAGCGCTTCCTTTTCTGTTTGCGAATATCTTCTCTGACCAATCGGTCAGGCTGCGGCTCGCATAGCAGATTGGAACCAAACCGTCACGCTGTTCCTGAACTAATACTGCACCCAGGCCGACTGGGCTCGCAACACCTATCACCTTTGTCGGTGCCGTTTTATCATAGTACGCAATGTGGTTGCCTTTGCTAGGCTCTCCTTAAGCGCGTTGAAGGCTGCTTTCTGGTGTGACCGAAATTGAAATGGAACGCCTTTTCGGGTCAGTTTGCGAAGCGGGTTGGACAGAGTAGCGAAGTTGGGTATGAATCTACTACTGAACCCAACTAGGCCGAGAAAACTCCGAACCTCTGATACATTCTCGAGCACTCTAAATTCGGATACGGCTCTGGCGCGTTCTTGCATGGGACCAATGCCCTTCTTGGACAACAGGATCCCTGTGAATACTAGCCGGCTCATGTTGAATTGGCACTTCTCAGCATTCAGGGTAAGACCTAGCTCCTGCAATCTGCGCAACACTGCCAGTACTCTACTGTCATGGGTATTTTGGTCAGGGCCATGTACAATTATGTCGTCTGAGATATTTTCTACGCCTTCAAGACCTGCTAGCGCTTTTGCGATCATGTACTGGTACTGTTTGCTCGCAGAACTTACTCCGAACAGAAGTCGTTTGTACTGATATAGACCGCAATACGTGACAAACGTCGTGATCCCTCGCTACTCCAGGGCGAATTCCAACTGGTGATATCCCCTTTGAGCCGTTCATGCTTTGCAAAAGTTCTTCCACAGTAAGAATTGGATGACGGCCGCGTAAGATCGCTTCATACACACATCGCCGTGTCGCCGTTCGGTTTCGGTACCACAACAACAGGGTTGACCCAAGGTGTCGGGCCATCAAAGGCTTTGATTATGTCAAGGCGCTCTAGTTCGCGTATTTTTTGTTCTACTCTACTGCGCGAACTGAATGACGTTCGCCTAAGGGGCTGTACAACTGGCGTAACTGAGGTGTCGATGTGGAGCTTAACTTGCTCAGTTTTCAGCTTACCCACGCCTCCGAACACCCCAGGAAACTGCTGCTGGTACTGCTTGGCCTTGTCACCACTCATAGCTGAGCTGCTCTTAGCACACCTGTCAACTTTGACCTCATCTATAGTCCCGGCGTGGCCGCTTACAGCATTGATTCCAATTTGGAGTACGCCCAGTTTCATTGCTGTGTCTTTGCCAAGTAACGGTACTCCTTTTCCTTTGATGACGATGAATTCGGCTCGGGTAGATCTGCCTGATACCTGCACTTCGCACTCGAACGTACCCTTGAGTGACAGGGACGGTCTGCGCCATACGCCCACAGCTTTCTGTCTGGTGGGATTCACACTGAATTTTGTTCCGTTTAAGTAAGTCCCAAGTCTGCTCGTTGATGATATTGCTCGTGGCTCCCGAGTCATTCAGCATGTTAAGGTCGACTCCGCCCACCTTGATCTTCAACATGTTCGAATGTGGTCCCTCTCGGATGAGGAAGGCGTAATCTTGTGAAGCCTTGGGGTCATTGTGTTCCTCACCCACTTGGTTGACTCTGGGCTTGGTTTTTGTTTTGCACATCTTCGCGAAGTGGTCCCTGCCAGAACATTTTTGGCATGTCTGACCCCTCGCGGGACAGTTCGAGTCACGGTTGAAATGTCCGGTTCGACCACATCTGTAGCAAGCACCTTTGGGGGTCGGTTCAGGTTTTGTACGCTGATTTCCCGTTTGTGATTGTGGTGACCTTGAGTGTTTGGTTTCCGTTTTGGGCTTGTACTGCTTGTCACAGGATTTCTGTTTCTTGTCTGACACACGGTTGACAGAGTCAGATTTAGGGTCTTTGCTTTTGCCAGACAGTGCAGCCATTTATCCTTCCACCTTTTCATATTTATCAGCTATTTGCAGTGCCTTATCCAGTGTCAGTTCAGCCCCAGTTTCCAACAGTTTGCATCTAACATAATCGGATTTGCACTTACTCAACACAGCATCCCTGATCTGATTGTCCTTTTCCCCTCCAAAATCGCAATCCCTGGCCACCCTCCGAAGTCTGGTTACAAATTGTAGCACAGTCTCTCCTTCCTTCTGTGACAACTGATGAAATGCTGCGTTCTTCCGGGGAACAAAGTAGGCATTCAGCGCTTTTTTTGCAGCGTCATAGTCGGCAGGGTCACCCGTGTTCGGCAAGGTTTGAAAAATTTCCTGCACGTCTGGGCCCGCAAGGTGGAGCAGCAACGCCCGTCGTCTTTGCTTTACCTCGGGTGCGGTGGCAGATCCAACGATGTGGCCCTTACCGTCCGCGTACAGTTTGAACGACATAAGCCACCTTTCCCAACACGGACGAAGGGTTGCCGGCTCTGAAAAGCAGTCGAAGGTGGGACTCACGGTTTTCTCCATTGTTTACTCTCGTCGCCAATGTTATATTCTTGGAGGGGATTCGTATTTAAACAACTTGGGACGCAGATAGCACCACAACAGCTCCAGCTCGGTTTGGCCTACAACTTCATGACACACGTTTATTAAACATGGCTCCGCGCACAGAAACTCTTACATGAGTTGACCTTTGACATACTCTAATAGACTGGCTATCTGCCACATGCAGACACGACACGTCTCTAATCATCTATAACAATCTGCTGCTAGATGGCGCTTTAACATTTTATGACGTCACCGTTAGTTTTTGTAAAAAACAACTTTTATAGCCAAAGCATACATCATTGAAAACAAGTTCACATATTTTACAAATTTTAAAGTACAAGGCACTTCCGGTTTCAACCGGAAGGATTAGGGTCACAGGAATTGATAGAATTATCGATGGTCTTCATTTTTTATATAATGTGCAAAATTACGTGACCCTTTCTTCCTGTTGAATCCGGAAGTGCCTTGTAATTCAAAATTGGTGAAAGATGTGAACTTGCTTTCAATGATGTATGCTCTGGCTAAGTTGTTCTTTACCATAATATTATAGTTATAGATGAAAGTTGATGTGACGTCATCATGACGTCATCATGACGTCATCACGTGACATGTGACGTCATAATTCAAAACCCTATGAGAATGTAATCACATAGTATATGCCACCATTTATTATAAACAGAACTACACATCCTCCCTTGGTGTAACATAAATGTATACTTGAAACTTTACATGTCACGTCACAAAAAGTTACTGAAACAGCCCTGTGTTTGTCCACAAACATAAATCTAGTGTTGTTTTAAAACCATTTTTCTAAAGTTTTGCTCAGTGTACACAATAAATACATACAAACATTTATGTAAATAAAAATAAAAAGTTGTCCTTTCTCTGCCTTTGGTCACATGATTAAATGCTAAAACTGATAATTTAATCCAAATTCATATTTTCTGCTGTTTTAACATTCAAAACTGAACTGAAACAATGTGCAATCATAAAGTGTCATCCCCATCACTTTACATTTGTCACAAAAACAAATGCCAAACCTCAAGTTTAATATTACTTTGCCTTTCAGAGAGTCTTCAAACTGAACCAATTGAAATGTTAATCTTCATTCATGCAGGCTTACTAGCATTGTACGATCCATGTACATACAAGTAAGTATGCACATGTTCATGTATATGACTGCATAGATTAGCATCTGTTTGCTGCGTATTAACCAAACTAATTACCCCAAACCATCTGGTGCTGAATATTAACAATTTAACAAATTTCAATATTGCTTTTCATTTACCTGTTTTGTCCTTGTCAGTCCCCGATGATACAAGCACAAATAAAGCACCTGGCTCCATTTCTTTGGTTCCCCATGAGTAAGACATCACATTACTCTGCACATCTCTCCAATGTATTCCAAAATCATCCGACACCCACAGTTTGAACTGACAATACAGCATAAAAAACATTAATGATTCAAGCATTGCTAGTATGTGTCAGGATGAATTCATAAAGAAAAATTATAATCAAAGATCTTCAAGCAAGTGTACAACTACAGTCGAGTCTCGTTATAAAAAACTCGTTCAGACCTAGCCAAATTGTTTGTTATATCAGAATTTTGTATTAAGAGGAACATCAGTCCCATTGTGCACATAATGCACAGTCGAGACCAAGGCGTTATGTTTGTTACAACCAGAATTTTGTATTAACAGAGTTTGTACTAACGAAAGTCGACTGTACATATTGTAGAATGCAAGGGATTGCAAGGGGCAACCCTCTGTGGGCAATTTGAAAAACACATTGCAGATTTTTGCGATGAACATAAGAAGCTCTTTTACATACAATATGAGTCAAAAAGAAAGTGATAGATTTGAAAAATATTTCCAATATTATTTTGCTCGCTCCATTTCACAAAACAATGTATGGACGAAGTACATCTTATTGACTATTAATATTGAAAATTTCACGTAATTTGCATACTCTATTCCCAAGTTATGTCTATTTCAATCACAAGATCACTCGGCTGTCCACCACTGATCATTTATACTGTTCTACAAATGATAAATACCCATTGAGTACAATGAAACATGGACGTTTTCCCACCTCCGTGAATGAACGAGAACTTGCAAAGGAAAACATACAAAAATCGTCATCAATGTTTCGGAAAAAAAGTTGACTCATATTCAAAACACAAAATCTGACAGTAAAAATAATGTTTCAGTCTTTATTTCAATTATTAACATTTCATTTGTATTTGAATGCCTGTGGGTAATCTGTAATTATCACTACTAGTGCAGGGCCAGTCGAAAATGTGCCTGTTCGGAAGGGGCAGTTGGGAACTGCAGCTCAAGCAAACAACGCATATGATTCAATGGTGCTTCCACAGGTTCAACGCACACTCGCAAGTTAAACGCACGCATGTCGTCATCCACTGGCACTGATGTACCCTTACTGGACAATATGAGTAAGATTTGAGGCTTTGCATGGTGGAACTACTAAATGATGAAAGGTTTGCGGAAACACCATGTGCGAATAATTTCTCAACTAAGAGATTGGTTCTGAAAAACAGAATGGTTCTGAAATTGGACAATATGGTATCGCCCTACAGTAACGGCTGCTCAGTCGGCCGTCTGTTGCTCAGTCAACTGCAAAATGCATGTGCCCGTGCAGCCACTCACGTACATGTACATGTACATATGGAAACATGGCATGCAGTGCTATTCACCCATACTGGACAATGGTATCGCCCTACAATGCACGTGCGCGTGCCCGTCCTATTTGCATTGTTAGCGTCATATCGAGCACGCGCGCTTTAGCTTTACAAGACGTAAACAATTTAAAAGAACGGCAGTGCGTGGTGTTATGTTCTAAGCTATATATTGCCACGTTTGCCTTCAGAAAATGCTGCTTTTTTTGCAGCTTTTTCGAGAACCGCTCATCCAAACAACTTCAAACTTGACACTGCACATTCTGTTGTCCCGAACAATATACCCGCCGATTTTCAACTTCATACGGCGCCCGGTTCTGGAGATAATCGACATACAGACAGACAGACACACACACACACAGATTCCTGGAATTATAGTAAGGATTACAGTTCAATAGTTTCCTATGGCATTCCATGGTCAGCTATAAAAATGGGTTCTGTTAGTTAAAATGTATAACTTTTAATGGCACAGATTAAACTTAGAAAGAAAAAAATTCACACAAGTGAAGGAACATGCTTTTCAAGACATACCCCTGCACTGCAGACAAACAAAGAAAAGGAAAAACTGCAAACTAGCTATTAAATTTGATCAAATAATTTTAACATTTGGGCAAGTCAAAAAATCATAAACCTCAGTGCCAAAACTTAAAAAAAAAAAAAAAGGCACAAACGAAACATTTATCATTTTGAAGCTTATTATCTGTATTTTATTGAAATATATTTTATTTCTAACAATGTTAAACAGGTAAGCTGTTGCGTTTAAGTGAAAAAAAGTACATTAATACATGGAAGTACATGTACACACAAAAATCAAAAGACATGATGCGGTACTATTAGACGACTGTCTTGTTGTGAACACTCATGAAGTCCACAACATCTTTGCAAGGACTGAAACCAACAAAGCCTGTGGCCCACATGGTATCTCCATTAATAAAGTCCTCAAGCTGTGTGGCCAACCCTGCTGCTTAACATGTTTTCATCAATGATTTTGAATAGTGGGGACATCCCACAGTGTTGGAAATTTTCTTTTATTACTTCAGTGCCCAAGGTTAAGAATCCAAAAGTGTTAAATGATTTTCGTCCCATATCCTTGACCTCAAATGTAATAAAATGTCTGGAAAGGTTCATACTAAGAACGTTGTGTAGTTAAGTTACCCAATTTGACTCTCATCGGTCTGCTTATCAGAGACACAGAGGAGTGGAGGATGCACTGATTACTTATCTGCACAAATTTGTACAATCATTTTGATATTCTTAAGTCATGTGTTAAGCTCAATTTTTATAGACTTTTCCAGCACTTTTAACACCATTGTTTCTCACATGTTAATGCAAAAATTACTTAATCTTGATCATACTGGTAGCTTTCTTACAGACAGACCACAGCGGGTGAAGTGCAATAATTCTCTGGTGTTAAATCTGAGGAGGCAAGTCATATTCGTCTAAGGATGTCAGTAGAAGAATGGCATGTGGGCTCGATGTCGCAACCAAGGTACCGGTACCTGAACTTCTCTGTGATTTCAACAGGCTCAGCAAGGACAGTAACAATTTCCTTCCTCGTGCTGCCGTGACTGGATATCCTGGTGATTCAATGAATTTCTTATGCCTAATGAAAGAGCAAACGATGGATCACTAACAACGTTGAGGTCTTCAATGACAAACACAGAGCTGTGTCGGTTTTGGAGAAAAAAATGATTGTGTTTTGATTTTTGTAAAGGAAGTACCTTTTGTAGATATTCAAGTTTTATCCAGATCAGATGTGTAGTTCCATAGACATTAAATTATGCACTTTCAATGTTACTTCACATGACATGTGATGTCATCATGATGTTACTTCAATCTTCACCTATAAGTGGTGTGACGGCAGTTGTGCCTTGTAAATGGTTGTCACTTGGTGGTCTGTTGTGTGTGTGCGCGCCATACATATCCTTGTCTGGTCACATTTTGTGAATCGTTATTTTCGACTCCAAAGAATTGAGGTTCTCCCCCAAAACTTGACCTAGGGACAGAGGTTATTTGATTACTATATATTTTATAGTTCATGTAATAATTGTGAGGTAATTTTGAGTCATTGAATGATGTTATTTGTAATGTTTTGAGGATCAATAATTGCTCGATAAAACCAGTTTTGTATAAATGTGTTTGTGCAGTGATGTATCATCAACGACACATGTTCACTGCACCTCATGTAGTAATTTATGTTTATACCCCTTGTGAATAATGGATTTGGATAATTTGGGTTTAATCCTGGGCTTTACAATATGGTAAATCCTCTTCTTGTTTATTATAAACCTGGCATTTTTTTAGAAGCAACATGTCTAATTAGAAGCAACATGTCTAATTATTCCACATGTTAACTACATACATGTATTCCACTTGTATGTCCAATTTACATATACATGTACATGTATGCACTTTATGCATTGTGCTTATTATATTCCTTTGTGTTTATTTTTTCCAATTTTTACGTGAATCAAGTGAAAAGTACCAATGTTAAAGTGAATCAACTTAACCAAGTGAACCAGTGAAAACCAATGAAGTGACAATTATTGAACGCCAGAATAAATCAATTGAATAAATCAAACTTTGATTTAACATATTTAATTGAACCTCAAGAGAACTTAGTAATTATATAATAACCGCCACGAGTGGACTTTCTTCCTCAATGCTGTACAACAAACAAAACCCGATCAATAAAATGAAACACTTGTAGTCCGTTTGCTCCTCACAATCATGGCAGATTTGATCATTTTGTGAGAAGTTTGATTGGGAAAGATGTAAGTGAAAATGTTAGTGAAGGCAGATGAAAAATGGAGGATTTTCAGTCAGCACAAACAAGGGAAGGACCTATGCAGCATCTCAAATTCACCGGGACAGATGAAGAAGCCATTTTCCCCAAATATCATTGCTATGCGTTCCATCAGTCAATCAAGTAGCTGACTAGTTTTAGCACGCAAAAAGTAAGTCATGTCACCCACTTCGATAGCCGCTGAGCTCAAAGGGTATTGTGCACAGTGCCCTCAATGTGTGACATTCCGCCAGCACAATGTAAAAAATGTCCAAATGTTGACAGTAAGTCATGGGTGCAGACCAGTAAATCGGTCCGAAATTGCCTGCGCCGGCCAAATCACGATTTGCATGCCCTCAAAATCTTCGGTATTTGAGCATGCTGTGGGCCATGAACTTGAGGGTTTGTAAAAAATATGGGTGGAAACCGTGCACAGGACTTGGAGCTTGCAGTTCTGTGTAATTTTGATGTAATTTGGACCCTAAAAGCGCTCTACTTTGCAATGGAGTGTAGGCATCGTTTTTCAAAATGGCGATGGGCTTCAGGACTTTTTTCAGCGGTGATCATCTTCAGATGGAAATTTCTCCTAAAAGTCATCAGTTGACCCCCCAAAAATTGAAAAGAAAATGAAAGATGATGAAATAAGCTTTAATTTGATGTGTGTCTCGAACACCTTGGAGAGTTGTGAGTATTTTTCCCGAATTTTTGAAGTGGGAGCATTTACCATTGGGGTCTATGGAAGTTTATTTACTGGTCTGCTACCTCATGGTAAGTTTCCGCGAGGCTGCAGAAGCAAAGTCCAACAGGAATACAGCTTAAGTATGGTTTTTGCCACTCAAAGTTGATATCTTGGATTTACATGTAGGCCAATAATCAAAACATGTACACTTAAATACAGTCCGGAGTATCAACTCCCATGCTGCCAAAACAGAGTACATGTACATGTACTACTGTTCTTTAATACAGATTTTTTGCTAATTTTGCAAGGGAAGTGGTTTTGCCGCCTGTCGTCTGCTTCACAGATGATCAACTTGTGAACTATAGCACGTAGTCCTACACACACACAGACAAGTGTGAATATCGTAGACCCCCCATGTCCCTCTTTTGTTTGTACTTGTGTACCTGTTTGCAATTGTGGCCCTTCGGGAATTGTGAACCCTATTGTCCTCTTTTGTTCAATGTCCCCTATTCAATGCAGAAACAAACTCATAGCCTCACCTTACATACATGTATGTACATACTGTGGACATTCCTTTGTATTTGTGTAATTAACAAAAAACGGAGAAAAAAATCACTTTACTCCCACTTTGAACACTCTTTCAAACCAATTTTTTATCATGATTTTTAAACAGAAATGGTTAAATTGAAATTGGGTCAGGATTCAATAATGGACATCATGTTCAGCTAAACAAAAAGGCAGTTTGGTTTCTTGGGATTGTTCCGCGAAGGATCTTGCGACTGGATTGAATCTCCAAGGTTTTTACACTACAGTTAATTTTTCCCGATGGTGCTGCTTGACAAGGACTGTTTTCCCAATCCATGGTGCTAGAAAGTACCATTCCTTTAGCGAGGACTAAACACATTTTCTTTGCATAATTTTACTATAGTGCTGCTGAGTTCTTCCTGTGTGCACAGGGGGCCTTTTGTTGTATACCAAAGAGTGCAGAACTGAGGAGGCCGTGCAAACGGGAGGTAGCTAGAACAAAAGATTGCGTTCCTGGCCTGCACATGCCTGCAAACGGTTAATGTATTTTTTGATCCCTCGCTCCCTAAGACTCCTGCCACCATTCCAATTATTAAAATATAATTAATTATAAAATTTTCAGAGAGATATATTTTGGTAACTCCCGTAACAGTTTGTCCACCCATCTTTAGTACAAGTTAAAACATATAAGAAACTAACAAACAAAAACAATTTTCGCTAAGATTATTAACCTTTCTCTCTGCACTAAAAACAAAATCTCTTTTTACCTGCATTCTGCAGGTAAAAACAGGATGCCAAAATGACTACCTAACCCCCATAATTTAAGCCAAAACAAAATCATTTTTTTTGACAAAACATAGACTTAAAGGTTTAGTCATCATTTGTAATTTCTGCATTTTGTTCGTTTGAAGCAACAAAAGTGCTCAAAATCTAAAGAAGGGTGCTTAACAACTATCCCGATGAAATTTCAGCTCAGCTTCAGCTGTATATTCCGAGAAAAACAGCATTCTAGGATCTCGATTTCAAATCAAAAGTTGCTGAATCATGTTTTGGATTGGGCCTGAATTCAGCATCCGAGACACTGAGTAGATTGCAGCTACGCGATGTCACGCACTGATCTGACGAATTATAGCAACCGCGCGCACGTGTACGTCGTGCCAAAGCTTGCGCACGCTTCGCCAAATAAAAAAAATGAACTACTAATGGAAATTTCCAATTGTGCAACTTAAGAAGCACCGTTGGAAATGCCTTCTTTCGTTGATTTCTTCAAAATGACAGCTTGCCAGAAAGAATAATTTCACAGGGAGTTTAGTCCCCTTACTATCTTTCAACCAAGTATCTTGTTCAACAATAATTATGTCAGTTACTTTTTGGGATAGTTGCAAATGATGGACTATAGCTTTAACCATCTTCTATCTCACTGTCACACCACTCAAATGAAAGGTCTTGTTGTCCCCTTTAATTTGATACCAGATTTGAGGTTAAGATGCTTGCAGTTTTGAAGATTTCATAATTTTTCCCCTTTCAGCCATATCCACACTCTTTCAATTCCATGCACCTGTTTCTCTTTGAAGTACAGCAGTAATGCATAGTTACCTAGAATCCTTCAGTTTTTTATGGTATATGTGATAAAACCTTTCAAATGGGCATCTAGATTTTTTTATTAAAACAAACAGAGATACTGAAATAAAAGGCATCTGTTATTACTGGTAATTCCATAGCCTTTACACATACAATTCTAATAAAAATAACCAGTGATGAAAACTCCTTTGCAAATATCTATCAAAGAGTGACTGTGGGCAGCCAAAAGGTTCCAATTACACAACGTGAAAGAACCACATGACCATCAGTTTCCCAGTGATAGGCCACCATTGCAGAAGGCAAGCATTTGATTTACAACAACAATGTGCATTGCAAACTTAACAATAGGGCTTACTTTTATGTAAAATAACTGCAAATTCTTAATCAAATGGCATAATAGTTAATACCTCTGCCGTGTACGGTTGTCATAATAGTGCCGACCGAGCACTGGTTAGGCTCCACATTTTTCTCACATTTGTTGCCATCCATCACAGCTTTGAATTGTGTCCTACTACGCGACACACTGTACGATCTTTGCCAACTACAATCGCGACACTAACTTTCTTGTACCCAGATATAGGCTGGGTCATAAGAGAGCCCTATGGCGATCAAGTACAGTAATGAATACACAGCATAACCCACCTGCTGATATGGTGAATGCGCTAGTAGCATATTAGTAGCTGTGCTGTGGAAAACAATTGCCCCATCAAGATAAAAAGGAAGAATGGATTCATCAAATGTTTCACCGCCATTCAGGGTGACATACACACGTGTCTGGCTCATATCTTGGTCTTCCATATATGAAACAAGGATCACCTACAAAATAGAAAAACACAAATAAAAATCTAGCAACACTTGTAGTTAAAACGAATAATGCAAGTGAAACTTGTGCAATCCCCTGGCATGCTGACAGTTTTTATACAGTCACTAAGTGCGACACTTGTCAGTGTACCTAACCAAAATGGAAGATTTCTATTGTTTTAGCAATAGTGACCTTGAACTTTGACCTGTCCGCCCCAAAGGCAATATGCTTAAGACTACCAAGAACAACCCACAAATCAAATTTCAAGTTCCTAAGTAAAGTATTTCTCAAGTTATCGTGCTGACAAGAGTGAACCTAACCAAAACATACACGCACACACAGTGAGTATTTGCCTGCAATTGGGGACCCCCTATTATCCCTCTTTTGTTTGTATTGTTTGTATTGTTCAACATTCCCTATTGAATGCAGAAACAAACTCACATGTACATGTATACTCATAGACACACAAAGGGAATACGCTAGAATTTAGCTAGAGCAATTTAGTCCAAAGATTACCAAAAGTGCTGGAATCTTTTGAGATAAATTCTAAACCCTTGACAGATGGTTCCAACAACATTTTAACTGTAAGGGTTTGCTTTTTCATATTTAAACAACATACCTAATTTTCATACAGTATAGTGCCCACAGAATAATCTCTACTTCAAACACACGACTACAAAAAACATTTTCTATAAAACACAAAGTTTGGGGGTAGTTTTGACGAGGTGACACCCCTCAATACCACCCCTGGTTACACTACATGCATGACATGTACCAGGCTGCACTCTCTATCCCCCTCGTTTGGCATATTTTTTATTACAATCTTCAATTTGGCACCATGGGACTTTTTCATGAATATCATGCCTGACCGCTGACATAAACTCTGCATGGGATGGGTTCCTAGATCTCTTTGAAGCTGCAGTACGAGATGCAATTCCATGTAAAAGACAGCGTTCAAGGAGATCTTGTCCCTGGATTGATGACATTTAAAGTATGGTTGGTAAAAAAACCTAGGGCCTTTAAGCTTGCCAAGCAAACTGGGTCCGATGAAAATCCACAATGAGGTTAAAAGTGCTGTTAGTATTTCCTTTAACAGACATGTTGACCAGCTTTTTCATTCTGAGAATGATAACAAAAAAGGTTCTTTTCATGTAACTACTGTCCCATTGCATTGACTTTGGTAGTTTGTAAAATCATGGAATCCATTATTGTCAATGCCATATCATCCCATGTCACAAATTATTTGCTTTTGTCATCCGAGCAGTATGGGTTGTGGTAGTCCACCCAACATTGATGCAATGTTTCTTGATTTTGTAAAGGCCTTTGTTGTAATGCCTCATGACATTCTACTTCAAAAGCTAGCTAGTCAATATAATATTACTGGCAATACAGTGTATTTGGAAGTGGATTGTCTTTCATCTCAGGTCGTTATCAGCGGGTACTGTACAGAGGTAGCTTTTCACCCTGGTTCCAGTATCATCAGGAGTATCCCAGGGTAGTGTCTTAGGGCCGCTTTTGTTCAACTTGTTTATCAATGACCTTCCCTCATGTACTTCTTCTGCCTGTCTGTTGTTTGCAGATGATACATTATTATTCAGACCTTTACCTTGCCAACAGGATGAACGTATTTTACAGGAGGATCTTAATCAAATCCACAGGTGGTGTGTAGACAACAGGATGAATCTTAATATTAAGAAAACTAAAGTTATGCATATCACTTGTTCTAGCAATCCCGTTGTTCCTACGTATAATATGGGATCATTTCGTGTCAATTCAACACGATTTTGGACCCGACCCTCACAGATTAAAACAATATTAGGTGTGATGATTGGCCTACATAATTTGTATAAGAGATACACCCAGAACTGAAATCTTTTGTAGTGTGGCTCGTTAGATTTTGAGATATGGATCAACTAACTTTTGACAAATTAGCATGACCTCCGAACTTTAAATATTTGTATCTCCAAAACTATAGCACCTACAAAGCCAAGTTGTACACCATAATAAGGCTCTTTGAATGGCCTCCATTTCATAAAATAAAACTTAAATCTTACCATGAAGCACAGGGAATATGCGTAACGAAATGACCTTTGACCTTGAATTACAAAAATGCTTCAAATTTTGTGTTTTTTCTCAGATGTTAGTTTATGATGTAAGCAACATATTGGAAAATTTTGTAATGGGTGCTCTTAAAATTTTCAAAAGATGATTTTTTAAATATACATGTACCGTACCATGTCCAGGAAAAAACGTAATTTGCATACGTACTTACCGTACATACAGCAAGTGCACATTGACCTGTACATACTTGCCCTCGACAGCCCTAATGTGTTGTGTCAAATACAACATCTTGCTAGCTCTAGATTGTAGTGTAACGGAGGGGGGGGGGGGTGTCATTGGCGGGGGCACGTGTCTCCCAATGGATGTTCATATCCCCCGGTTTTGCATTTGTTTCTCATCTTTTGCTGAAAAGTGGACAGGGTTTCGGGTGGCACCATGTGGAGGGAGGTTTCTTCTTGGAACCGGTTCTTAATTTTCAGAACCACACTTCTTCCAAGAGGAGACTTCTTTCCACATGGTGTTGCCCGCAATATTGTCTACTTAATATGTCAGCCGCCATGTAAAGCGTCAAGTCATATCTTTTGCTTAATTTGTTTCTTTTTTTAGTATCATTTTGGTTTGCGGTAACACCATGAGGTAATGACTACTGCTCAGAAGATATTTATACGTATGTAGTTCTGAAAAGAACTTGTCCTGCTTGTTTTCTTTTGCTTTTTCTCATCTGGTTTTTATTTGTTCATAGTAATTTAATATCTGATAACTTGCAATGAAACTTTTTTTAACCGGGGGGTTGGCATTTTTCTCATGTTTTGTTCAATTTACTAATTTGTTTTTGCTAATTCTTATCTGGTTTTTATTTACTTGCAATGAAACTTCTTAACTCTTTAACGTTAAATGTGGACATCCACAATAATTTGGTCTTTAAAATGTATTGTTTTTTTCTTTAATGGGGGACATCTTTCTTCCTTTTGTTGTACTATATTTTTGGCTTTTCCGCATAGTTGCGGAAAAGCCTTTCTTTTTGTTCTGATTTTTTTTTCTTTCTTCCCTCTTCTTTTTGTTCATCCCAAATCCCATAAACTTTGTACATGATGTTTGTGACATCCACTTTTGGCATTATTAATCTTTGTCATACATAATTCAAAGTCAGCATAGGCATAGTCCCTATAGCAAAGTTGCGTCCACCATGGGTCATGTGACGTCATCACAAATGTGCTTATTTTAAAGTCCTATATCTACAAAACTGTATGTCCAATTCGGTTGAAACTCGGTATGCACATGTAGGTACATGTAGGCCAGGATGTGTTATAGGTAAAAATTGAGGTGACGTCATCATGACGTCATCGTGTGATTTTATATAGATTTGTGAAATTTTGAAGAATACCACAATATCTCTCGACCCAACACGCTAAATTCAAAATTCTTTTTGCATTACGTTTGTTAGGCAATAGGTGTATGCACACAATTTTTTAAAATTTGTGACGTCACGATGACGTCATCAAAAACGTGATTTTTCAAAACACATATAAGGGGGTCCATGTAAGTCCGATTGTCTTGAAACTTGGTGGGTAGGTACCGTAGGTACTGTTACTAATATGCAAATCCTGAAGTGACATCACAATGACATCATCGGAAGATGTTTTACGATTTTTTTTTTAAATTACAATTTTTCTTCTGCTTTCAAAAATTTACACTTCCATTCATCCGTTTGACTTCAAATTTGGTGGAAACCAAGACTACAATGAAAAGTGTGCATTGACAAGTGTTGTTAAGATGACGTCATCGCGGGGTATGTTCAAGTCCTCCATGTTAGGCAACCATTCGACTAATTTTTAGCCCAATTTACGGACACCTCATTTTTCCCCTTTTTTGTTTTTTGGATTAAATATCAAGATGTTATTATTTTCACATGATTCTCATTTATTTTTGTAAAGACAGTGTGCTGATGACACGCAGTGTTCAGTCTCAAGATGTTGAGGATGATAATGCCGTATGCGTAATTATAACGTGCCAGGGAACTGTCCAGTACCATACTGATACTAGCTCCATGGATATATCGCGTGATAATTTACTGGCCACTTCAAACTTTGCCTGGAAAATATTAAAGACTATTTTGACACACCAAAGGAATATGAAGATTGCAAGTAGGAGTATAAAGGTAAGAAGTATCCTTTTTGTCCAGTAGAAATAACAGCTAGTAAAATCACAAATTTAAATGTTGTGTTTTTCGCAAACCAAAGCATGATAATGTCAGATACATTAGGCTTTATTCTAATTTGTTATCTGATAAAGTTTATTCAGACATCGTGTTTGCACTAAAACTGTTCTAATTTGAAGCTTTCTGTGTCGTCACTTTACAAATGTCAAAGCTGGCCTGTGCCTTTTACGGTTTATAAAATTTAAGTGGATTTACAGGATTTTGAACTTATGCTTCCGTCTAATTGTTTCACTCCAAAACTAATTTTCCGATTTTGTTTTCTTCTTATTCTGTTAACAGACTGTGGATAGTGTCATGAAGAGGGTCAAACTAGCGGGCAGTCTCCAGTCATAACCAACGCAACTCGAGACTATAACTACTCATCATTGGACAGGGAAGGATGAGCTAAACCACTTAAAATTGCTGGATTAAGAATTGGGTGCATTATCTAAGCAAACGGCTACAAGTTTTCCAGGCCAAATTTGCATTGCACAAACTTGTGAAAAAGACCTACTCATTTCTTCAGGATGTTGAGTTCTTGTTGATCAACTTGAATTTCTAGGACTGCATGCTGGGCATTGAAATCTCGGAACAAGATTGAGATATAAATTATACTGCGAACCCAAGTCAAAAAATTGCTTTTACCGGTAACTGTGAAACATTTATATTGTTGAAACATTTATATTGTTACATTTACATGTGCAAACATTCTGAACAAGAAAACAGCGATTCTTGACTTTCACCATTAGGAAACAC